AGGGGGGGGGGGGGGGGGGGGGGCGTACTTCTATGTTTTGCATGCCGTAGCGGTTAGACCATTGACCACGCGTCCTCGAGAGGACGGACCATGGAGGAGGGGTGGGGGATGTGCTCATGCCGTCGAGAAAGAGGGGAGAGCGAGAGAGAGAGATTCAGCGAGAGAGAGAGAGAAAATAAAGGGGAGAGGGGAGCAAGAGAGAACGGAGGGAGGGAGGGAGGGAGAGAGAGAGAGAAAAAAAACAGGCACATCACGAGAAACGAAGGAAATGCAGCTTTCACGCCACAGCTGATACGGCACAATGCGCTCGATTTTTGACCCCAACTGTTCTTTCACGATCCCCATGTTGACCCCGACATACTAATGTATCAATCTCCGCCTTCGACAACGTCGTAGCGAATAGCTAGCCGTCTACTACTTGTACCTGATGTCCAGGATAACTGTCTTGGCGGAATCGGTGAGAATCGTTGCGAGATAGTTGGGGTCTTGCTTATTCCAGCTGAGTCGCATGAGGGGCGTCAGGTCGTGCGTCTCATAGATGATGGTCGAGTGCTCCAGTGATCGGAGGTCGAACATTCGAACGCTCCCGTCGGCACCTACGGATGCGAAAATGTCCTTCGTCCTGTCGACGACAACAACCACAAGGATAACAACAGCAACTCGATTGAGATAGGTACAGCAGTATCAATCAACACAACGACCTGCGACAATGGCGAGGGAAAGAACAACAACAACAATTCGATTGAGTCAGGTACAGCATCAACACAACTATTCATGACAACGGCAATAACAGCATGTTGGAACGAAAAAAGTTCAAGTTAACCTGACCAACGGGGGCGTGCCCTCTCCCAACCGAGTCAACACAGGCAACCAAGCGACTACTGTACAATAGTGCAATGATGCACGTGAAGCATGGTGGGTGCTTCGCTCGCAGAACGATCCGGAGCAAGAACAAAAAAACTGAAAACACGTCACGAACGCCAAAGCCTCAACACTGGTCAGCCAGACACCAAACCAAGTTCGTGCAAAACACCAAAGGTCTGGTACGTTCCAGCACCCCAATCGACACGGCGGGTACCTTGACCAATCGCTCATCACGGGACACCGCAGTCAAGAGGTGCCTCCAACAGGACAGAGTTGATTAAGGCTTTGCCACACAAGTTCACCTCGCGAATGCGATGTCGTAAACCTCTTTGTCGTGAGCAATTAGCTGCGTCTTTGGTGTACCGGTCTAAACGAACGGCACCAGCATCGGCAACAAGCGCAAAACACAGCACCGCGCAGCACCGCAGAGGGGGCAGTAGGTGGATGGGCAGCGGCCATTAGCAGCCGACAAATGGCCCACAGAACAGCAGCGGTCACGGAAAATATGAAAATGAAATATGGGAAAAAGACGCGGTTCTTGTACCGACATGGTAGAGGATATGGTCTTGGGTAGTGACATTCGACTTCCAGGTACGCGACGCCTTCACAGAAAAACGTAGTTGAGGTGTGGACACACTGATGGCTTTGTCATGCAACAGTCAGGCGTCGCGACAGTGAGAGCGCGTCTTGCGAGCCTGAGACCAGTAACGATGAGAGCAGAAACAACAAACAGCAACAACAGCAACAACAGCAACAGCAACACTACCATCACAACAGAAACAACAACAATAGCACCACCAACAACGGTTCAACAATGACGGCGACGACGACAACAACAATAACAACATTATCAACAACAACAACAACAAAACTCACCGCGACATCCCAGATCGTGCACGTAGTGTCAATGCTCGATGTTCCCACCGTAGACGGGTCAGCGTCACACCAGTCGAACGACGTTAACGGCGAGCAGTACTCCGCGTTCGTGTTCTGAAACCGTCACCATGAAACCGTCACCGCACATAGCACGAAAAGGCAAGGAGGCGTTTGCGCGGCAAGATGCAGCCACCGGGGATCATGCGTGAGGAAAATATTAGTGTACAGTATCTTGTCAACCCGAGAAGCTTGCCGGGAGAGAAAGCTAGAAAGGCGGGCGACACTGGTATCTTCTCTACGCTCCGAGTGAGATGCCATGCGTGCTGATGCAGGTGCAGTCCTGTGGTGGTACAGTGCTCACGCTGGTACAAAGAGTAGCGACGTCTGAATATCAGCAAACACCGAACGTCTATGTACATGAAACCCTTGGGCAAACGCCAACACTAGCACCAACACCAAACCTAACCTCAACACCGACGGAACACCCGCATCGCCACCAACGTTAACAACGACATCAACACCCACACCGACACCAACGCCGACATCGACATCTAAACCAACGACAACTCAGGAACAGGCGACATCAGCGCGGGGATAACATGATCGACCGACTTTAACCGAAAATCGATATAGATATACCTGTCCACAGCATTCTTCATGCGCAAAGACCACACTTACTGCACAACACAAAACTATCATGGTTTCCACACTCACTTGTGATGCAATGCTACAACACAGAGCATCCCCAAGGCTCCCCAAGGCTCACATTATTGAGAAGGGAGTGCAGCTTTACCCCGCCTGGTTCCTGCTCATCCACGCTCCACAATCGCAAGTAGTCCCCTGGTTGGTTTGTTTCGCAGAAAAACGGAGGCGCGGGAGAAAAGCAAAGAAAGAGTCGCTCCGCTATCAAACGTGATGCTATGGTACTAAGTACAGCCCGAACCGCCACGCGGAAACACAGTCAATCATTGCCCCGGGAGTGCACACCACCCCACTACACACGTAGCATACTCCCCATCCAAGCTGCCCAGGGAAAAAAAAAAGAAGTGGTGTACAATATCACACCTCATCGAACAGTGCCGTGTACCATGCTGCTGTACCGCCGTACCAAGCTGTACCATGTAATACCATGCCTGTCGCGGGGCAACGCCGAGAGCGCCCTGGAAGGCGGTATCTCAAGTCTGCGACAAAAACACACCTAGTACCCGCAGCAACAGCAACGGCAACCTCCGACTGTCGTCACGCACCGGTCGTCGCGAGGAGGTCTGTGCTGTTGAGCGACTTGTCTGGAGACCACATGATCTTGGTCGGCGGGTACGGGTGCTCCAGCTCCCCCGTTCGCACGAACGACGTCTCGGTACGCTGCACAATCTGCAC